GCATCATCCCCATTGCTCCTAAATTTCAGAGCCCTCAGGGTTGTGGGGCTCTGATGTCCAATCACAGGTGCACCATTGACCTCCATCAAGGTCCAGGAAATTAAAGGTAATGTTGCATTCAGATCTGATAGGGAGAGCTGCAGAGTCAGTACCAAGGACAGCTCCTTGTCAGTACCATGCTGTGACCATGGCTTGACCTGAAGTGGTGATACTGGTGGGTCAGGACACCTCCCTCCAGGTTACATCATCGTGTCCTCCAAAGAGGAAACCACAGAGGGACAGCTCCATAATAGGAGGCCTCTCCTAACACTGGGACCACCAGGGTTGTACTGGACAGGGAATGCCATATCAAATATGCTCAACCAGCTTTGAGATCTCGTGCCTGGTTGTCTTGGGATCTTAGGTCTGGCTTGCTGGGAGTTCTCCTTCTGCCCATATAGCTGCTGAGTGCATGGGACATGACAAGGATGATTGGGGGAATTCAGCCGCTATGGATTCTAATGCAATCTCTCTGGATATGTGGATCTCAGATTAATGTAAAGAGCAGGATGTAGTCATCGACGGGCTTTCTCATTTCTTGAATATTCTAGCACAGATCGTCTTTCAAAAATGCATTTTTTTTGTATGAGAGAAAACACATTTATAAATAGGTATTCTTCAAAGAAAACATGTTTATGTAGAAGTGGCATTGTTTGGAAAAAACAAACAAACCCTCACCGCCACTTGCACAGAATAATGTCTGGAGAATATTCTGATCCCTTGGGAATTCTAATGCATTTAGGATTAACAGAAGAGTTAAGATTGTGGTTAGAAGTCTTGTGTTCCCTGAACCTCCTGAGGAACATAATATATGTTCCGGGAAATTCACTTTTCTTGCTTTTACAGTTTTCTCCACAGTAACTTGATACTTTTGCTATGCTCTGCTGCAGCAGACATGTAAAGGAAACAACTGTTTACTTTCTAGAGATACGTCCAGTGACACGTTTCTTCCTTTAACTTCTTTTCATATTACATCCCTTTTTGCCACTTCATGGAGCACTCCTTCTAAAAACAGATTTCTACATATGTATATTATTGCCTGAAGAAATTCAAACTCCACCCCTCCCCCCGAATGGGGCAAATGTAGATAACCAGAATATGCCCTGTTTCTTGGCATCACAGCTGTCAGAAAAACAGCATGAGATGTTTGTCATACAATCTCTACTTCATACTCTAGTTCTATGTGAATCCTTTCATGGAATGTGACTCCAGCTGACTAAAAAGTTTCACCTGCTTACATGAAGGTTAATGAATACTGTAAATCCCAATGCCTGTATGTTTTAATTAGGGATGTTCACTAGCAATAAAATTCAGATTCAGAACTTGGATTTGGAATTCAGAACTATGGCCCTTTTGTATTTAGAATTTGGAATTTAAAAAAAATCTGAATTTCTGGATAACTGGAACCTAGAGGAAGGGAACAGGTGAATCTATCAGTTTCAGCTTCTCATTGTTCCAGTCTTACCTTCATTTTACCCTGAACTTTGAAGATTATTTCAATCTTAAATTTGATTAGTTGGGTCAAATGTTGAAGGTTTTCTGAATACCACGCTTTGGTAATCTCCTGAATGGATTGCTATTATGCTCTTGATGTAGGTATGCTCTTGAAGTCAGTATGTGGGTCAAATGTTGAAGGTTTTCTGAATACTGTACCACGCTTTGGTAATCTCCTGAATAGACTGCTGTAATGCTCTCGATGTAGGACTGCTCTTGAAGTCAGTATAGAAATTTCAGCAGTGGCGAGGCGATCTCAGGAACAGCAGACGCCATTTATCTCCAGTCTTGGCATGTCTCTGTGGGCTCCCTGTTGGTTTCCATGCTCAATTAAAGGTGCTGGTCATCACTTACAAAACCCTACATGGTTTAGGACCTCCATACCGGTCAGAATGTCTCTCCTACAAAACAGCTACCTGTCTCACCCCATCTTCACAGTCCAGGATGTTAAAAACAATAGCACCAAGCAGGACTGCTTCGTTCAGAGGGCAAAGTGGGCAATTTGCCCAGGGGCCACTGTCTGTAGAGGCCCACACGAAGAGGGGGCACCAAGCAGGACTGCTTCGTTCAGAGGGCGAAGTGGGCACTTGCCCAGGGGCCACTGTCTGTAGGGGCCCACATGAAGAGGGGAGATGGACTGGCCAGAGCAGCAGCAGCTGGCAAGGAGCTGTCGGGGCCGTGAGGGTGACACTGGCCCAGGGCGGTGGTGCAGTGCATGCAGCCGATGCTCTGGCGGTGGTGCAGTGCACGCAGGCGGTGCTCCTGACTGCCTTTGCCACCACGTCCTGCCCCCAACAGCCTGCCACAGTCCTACGTCCACTGCTGCACCTGGGAAAGAGCCACCCTCCTCCTCCCTGCTTCCCCTGAGGACAGGCTGAGGTTGCCATGGGCGCTGTCGGGGTGGCTGATTTTCTTCCTGTGCAAGGTGTTGTCACTGTGAGAGAGACGCCTGTGGGAGGTGCTGCTGGGAGCTGCCACATGATAAAGAAAAGGCACCCTCCTGCATCTTCCGGGTCAGGGACCATCTTCTGGGACTCCAAACACTCCGCATCCCTGGAAGGGCACACAGACATCTTCACTCCAGCGGCTGCATCCTGTGCAAGGTGTTGTCACTGTGAGAGACACACATGTGGGAGGTGCTGCTGGGCGCTGCCACCCAACAAGAAGGGCACCCTCCTGCATCTTGAGGACCGGCTCAGGGACCATCTTCCGGGACCCCAAGCACTTCACTCCAGCGGCTGGCACTCAAGCGCCTCAGCAAGACCCACCTCTCCCGACAGAGGTCAGGTGAGGAAGGGATGTGTGTAAGGCCAGCCAGGACCCATGGGACAATCTGCTTAGACTCAGAGGCACTCCTCCCACCAGCGCCCTCAGTTGGGTGGCAGCGGTGCCTGTTCCTTCAAAGCACCCACGGCCCTCCGCTGCTTCCCACCCCCGAGTCTGGTGTCCCGTGACACCCCCCCCCACGCAACTGGCAGCCTGTCTCCCTGCCTTCCACGTGGGGCCAGCTCTGGATGGCAGCCTCAGCATGTTCTGCACACAATGTGCAAAACATTTCCTCTTCTCTGGGCATGTGCAGAGTGCCCTGAAGCTCAGCTTTAGGCTTCCCTTGCCTTGCCTCTTCTTCGTAAGCTAGACTTTCTTCTCTCTCTCTCTCTCTCTCTCTCTCTCTCTCTCTCTCTCTCACTCACTCACTCACTCACTCACACACACACACACACACATACACACAGACAAAATTACGTTTTTTGCCCAGGGCCCACCAGAGCCTTGAATTGGTCCTGACACCAAGGGAGGCCAAAAGAAAAAACATCAGGAAATGAGATTTTTCAGCTGTGGCCCCACACCTCTGAAATAAACTTCCAGTGGAGGATGTCCAGGGACTTTTCCTCACAGTCTTTAAGAAGTTAGAAAATGCAGAATTGTTGAAAGTCACCTTTTACTGTATTAGTGATCTTCCCTGCGATGTCCAATGTCGTCCTAAATTGTTTATACAGCTAGATTATCTAGTTCACTGTTTTTATTGACTGATTTTATTGTTTGTCAATATGCATTTCTACTGTATATTGCATTGTATGTATTCTTTTTTTGTGTGCTTCTGATTTCCAGCTGTTTGGCTATATATCCTGTTTGTGGCTTCTGATGGGAATCTGGTTGCCTAATGTAGAAACAGAATGCTGGTCTGATCCATGATGGTTCTTAAGTGTTCTTATTTCTTATATAAGGAGCTTTGTGATACAGTGGTTAAACTGCAGTACTTCAATGAAGACTCTGGTCATGATCTGGGTTCAATTCCAATGGGCTCAGGTAGCCAGCTCAAAGTTGACTCAACCTTCCATCCTTCCAAGGTCAGTAAATTGAGTAGCCAAGTTGCTGGGGCAGGGGGGCAATGTGTAATCTATATAATTAAATTGTAAACCAATTGAAGCACTATGGGGCAGTATATAAGCAACATACTTTTACTTTGCTTTTATTTCTTCTCCATCTCTGCTGAGCTACTGAATTCAGTTTTAGCTGCTTCTAGCACATCCACAAATAAATGTCTAACTGCACATCATACATCAGTGATTAAGATTATAATGGCACCAAGCACATCCGAGGATAAAGATTGTTACAATCTGCTGTCAAGTCAGAACCAATTCATAGCAACCCTAATAGAGTTTCAAGGTAAGTGAGATACTATATGGTCACATTGTCCATTTGAATTGATTTCTGTTCTGACTTTTAAAAATTCAGGTTCAAGTCACGTGGCATTTGAACCACGTTCCCATGCACTGAATGGAGACCAATTTATTCCTGATTTAAACTGGTTTTGGCATCTGCACTGCTGAAACGGACTCATCTCTACAAACCCGCATTTCATCCAATTGATTTTAGAAGCAAAAGTATTTCAAAAAAGTTCCTGCCAGCCGGTTGGAAAAAAAACAAACAAACCTCGCTTCGCAGTCCATATCAATCAATTTCACACATGTTGTGTGTGAATGATAAAATCTAAATCAATTTTAAATGACATTTAAATGCGATTTTTACTGCCAGTGTGCCCACAGCCTGAGGAGTTTCCAGACCCCCAGTGAGCTTCCATAGCTGAGCAGGGATCCAGACCGCAGGCCTCCTGACTTGTACTCCATCACTCTGTTCATTAGATCACACCAGATATCAAAGGTCTAGCGACCCCTGGCATATCAGCTAATCCGGTTTTAGTCGTGCCCTCTTCCTACTGTGGAAGTTGTATGGGTTCTTGATACAGAGGATGATTCCAAAAGATGGTTCACCTTCAACTGCATTCTGAAGCTGCTCGGGGGTAAGGATTCAACCACACCCTCATGACACTGCATGTGACGATCTGGTCTTTGCATGTGAATTGGGGTAAGGAGAGTCTTCTTGCAGAATGCCACTGTGAAGTCACCAGGTCTGAAGCTATAATCCATGGCTTGAGAGCTTAAATATTATAAATCCTTTGTTATCAGTTTGACAAGGCTGGTTGAAACAAAGATATTTTGCTGCCTGAAATAAAGAACAAGATGGCACCTGCTTTCCATCCTGTGCCCCAAACCTGACTGGACTGAATATGATTTCCGACACAGGAAACGGAACCTGGTCTCCCACAGCACCGAAAAGCATTCGGTAGGCAAGGAATCTCTCGGCAAGCCACACAGTTCACAACTATCCCATCCGGTCCTTTCTGCCATTCCCAAGCATATGCCATCCTAGGTGACTGCCTCGTTGAGTCTCATGGCCCAGTCAGCCTTGCAATCAGGGAGAGCCAATAAACAACCCCAAAGACTTATAACGAGCTGTAGTCGGTGCTTGACCCAACGCAAATTAACAACGCCAAGGTACAATCTGACGATATTTGTGCTTTAATGTTACAAAATTCCCCTAGGAAAATTACAACAAATTTTTTTTTGCTTCTACTATAATCCAGCCAACGTGTCAGGGATATCAAATGATTAGATCATTTCAAAGAAAAACACAGCAACTGAGCAAAACTAGAATCAAACTCTAAATCTTGTGCTGATGACGGGAAAGGAATGCAGAGCTAAATTGGAGAGTTAGGGGACAGAATGACTCCTCTTTAGCAGAACATAGGAAGCTAATTTCTCTTTTTTTGGGGGGAGGGAGTAACTACATCCCCCATAATCCCCTGCTGGGAACTGCAGAATTGCTGGCTGAGGCATTCTATGGATATTTAAAAAAAGTTATTCTTTCAAGCTCTGGTGTGTAGTGCTCAGCAGGTCCTTTCTATACTGGAGATCATTCACGACTGCCAACAGTCCTGCCTATCTGTTCAACAGAGATCTAAGCAATGAGAACTCTTTCCACAGTGATGCAACAGGTCCTTTGTAACTCACACAGACAAGGGTGCAGCCTGTTCATATTGTCTGCCATGGCTTCCCGATGGACTGGATATGCTCCTTTGCTTTCATCCTCAGTGCAGCTATGCTGGTGTTGCGAGGGTCGACTTCTTCCAGGGGGAATTTGTCCACAAAATTGGTGCCACATTGATAGGGTGGCGGCGGCCCCATGGTTCCCAGGGGTTGCAAGCTATGTCCCATGGGGGGTGAGTTTAGGAAAGGTGGAGGGGTGTAGCTGTTGGGAAGGCTTTGGGGGGAAGCCACGAAGCCTGGCAGAGTCTGGAGGGGATTGCTGTTGGACATGGGAGGGTTCAGCCAGGACTCCAGGGGCAAATTGCTCCCGATGGTCCCAATCGTGGAAGGCTGTGGGGAGCGATTAAAGGAGAGAATGGGAGAATCCTGCAGCTTCATGGATGTCACCTCCAGTTTCTCCTGCCTTCTCCACTTGGCTCGCCGGTTCTGAAACCAAACCTGTAGGGCAGAACTCAGAATTAGTTGAGCATCAGAAAGCATAGTTTCTCATTACTGTGGCTAAAAATGATGCAAAGATGTCCTTCCTTTGGATTCTAGCTCTCAGAATCACACGCACACATAGGATTTCAAGTTCTGGAAGTGGTAGTCCGAAAAAGTAAACTTTCAAAGCTTTCGCTATTAAACAGCTGCTGTTGTGCTTTTTCCCTATTTAAAAACACATTGCCTTGTGCTGCTTTATTTGCATCAGCAACAAAACAATCTCATGTGTGATTACAAGTGGAGCTGATATAGGTCAATGGGTTGGAGCACCTGACCACAGAAGCACAAACTGTGAGTTCAAATCTGCATTGTGTGTCCTGGAAGAGGAACCAGTTGAGGTCACATGGAGTGTGTATAGTTGATGGGGATGTGTGGTTCTGCCCCCTGTATGGCTTTAGGTATACTGTGTGGCTACCAATACCATCCAAATGATGGACTGGTGAACTAGTTCTGGGTACTTTATACCTGGAAAAACTTGAGAAATTCAACACTGTAAGTTAGAATTGAATTGATGGCATATAATTATTAGATGTTAACACAGCACTAGATAATTAACTTCAATTTCTTAATTAATTCAGCATAAATATAGATCTGTGGGCACCAATCACTTTAAGCAAAAAAAAAGTATACTGGAAATGCTTGTGTCACAACAGGAATTAGGAAAAGCACTCCTTCATATCTCCCATTCAGGGAATAATGCTTCTATAGTGTAAAGGTAAAGGTTCCCCTTGACATTTTTAGTCCAGTCGCGTCTGACTCTAGGGGGCGGTGCTCATCCCGTTTTCAAGCCGTAGAGCCAGCCCTTGTCCGAAGACAGTTTCCGTTGTCACATGGCCAGCGTGACTAGGGAACACCGTTTTACCTTCCCATCGAGGTCGTACCTATTTATCTACTCACATTTACATGCTTTCGAACTGCTAGGTTGGCAAGGAGCTGGGACAAAGCGACGGGAGCTCACTCCGTCATGTGGATTCGATCTTACGACTGCTGGTCTTCTGACTCTGCAACACAGGCTTCTGCGGCTTAGCCCACAGCGCCATCACATCCCTATTTCTATAGTGTAGTCCTATGCATATCCACTAAGAAACACACAGCATCGGGTTCAATGCAGTGTACGTCTAAGTTAAATGGCTATAGGACATCAGCCTTGTCTTGTGCACTTTTAAAAGCCAACACTCATAGATCAGAAAAGAAAACAAATTCAGCTGCCCAATTAATCTTTTCAAACTGCTTATAATGTCTTCTTACTGCATGAACCAACCAAATGACAAGCTTAGGCTGAAAGACAGTAATGCTCCAAACCTACATAGGGACTTTTATTGCCAGAGGGGAGATCTCAACACAAACCTTCCCTGTCTACATTCACACCTGCCTTGGTGTTTTTCAAGCTGTGTTCATGGGAAACCTTCAAAGCTTGATGGACAATCTTTCATGAAAAGCCAAGCAAAGGCAGGGAAACTTCTACAGTAGCTGTTCTGCCCACACGACATTCCTCCTCGGGGCTCTTTACTGACTTCCTGCCTGCTCCCGGGCCCAACACAAATTTGTCACCCCTCCGTTCAAAGCCCTCCACAGACTTTCCCTTCCTTATCTATTCAGGGAGATCTTACATATCCCAGCAAATCTTGCTTAAGAACTTCAAGCTTCGTTGCTCTGCAGGGTTGGCCCATTCATTAGGCCAAGTGAGTTAGCTATTTCAGGGGCCCTTACTTAAGGGCAGCAGTGTCAATTCTTTGACTGCTCTTCTCAAGCCTCAGGACCATTTCCCTCTTCTGAAGGAGAAGCTGTGTCTACTAGACAACATGTCCTATTTTCCTGAACTAGCCTGCTATTTTCAGCTGTGGTAAAGGATGTGCTTCTATTCTTGGTATCCATCTGTCAGTCTAGATGGTTCCGAAGGGCTGAAGGGGGTAAGAGGGTGCCATCTTGCTCCTCAACTTAGACAACAAAATAACTTGAGTCACCCTTGACACCACCCTTGATCTAAAGCACTGGTTCTTAACCTTTGTTACTCAGATGTTTTTGGACTGCAACTCCCAGAAGCCTTCACCATCAGCTCTGCTGGCTGGGGTTTCTGGGACTTGCAGTTCAAAAACACCTGAGTAACAAAGGCCTCTTCCGTCCTCATATGGCTCCGGAGTCACCAGAACTTTTAGAGATGTATTCTCTGATTTTTGACTGTGCTTTTTTATACCATGGAGGGACGTGGTGGTGCTGTGGGTTAAACCACAGAAGCCTCTGTGCTGTAAGGTCTATAGATCTGCAGCTGTAAGATCGAATTCACATGACGGAGTGAGCGCCCATCCCTTGTCCCAGCTCCCGCCAACCTATCAGCTCGAAAGCCTGCAAATGCGAGTAGATAAATAGGGACCACCTCGGTGGGAAGGTAACAGTGTTCTGTGTCTAAGTCACGCTGGCCATGTGACCACGGAAGATTGTCTTCGGACAAACACTGGCTCTATGGTTTGGAAACGGGGATGAGCATCGCCCCCTAGAGTCGAACACGACTGGACAAAATAGTCAAGGGGAACTTTTACCTTTACCTTTTAGACTATAAACTCCTTTATTTCTGGATTCAAACACAGTTTTGTATCTCCCTGAATGAATCCACCTGGATCTTAAGACCTTCAGGTGAGGCCCTTCTCTCTGTTCCACCACTCTTATGGAGGACACAAGGACAAGAGAGAGGGCCTTCTCGGGGGTGGCTCCTCAGGCTATGGAACTCCTTTCCGAGGGAAGCTAGGCTGGTTCCCTCTATGGTGTCCTTCAACGGAGCAAATATATATATTTAAAATATAAACAGTCTGTGATATCCTGAGAAGAACTTTTTAATGCTGGGTGCTGCTGCTGTCTTTATATTGTTTTCAGATCATTTAAATTAGTTTTAAACTGCTTTTTATTTTATTTTATTTTATTAATTGTGTCTTTGTTTTAGCCTGATAATTTATTTAACACTGTTTTAATATTACAATTTGTTTTTAGCTATATTATTTTTAAGTGTATACTGTAAGCCATTTTGGGTCCTGCAAAGGGGAATGGCAAGATGTAACTAATTAACTAGATAAAGAGCATTATTGTTACACACAATAATGGGAAATAAAGGGAAATACTCTTGGTTCCTTCCTTCAGAAGTTTCACTTTGGAAATATTTATAAAAAAAGAAAGAATACATACTTCTCTCCCCACAAAGAAATGCTAAAAGAAATACATAAAGCCTCAAAACATCTTGTCAAAATGCTTCTAAAACACCTTAAAGTCGTCCTTAAATGTAACGTTAGAAAATAACTAGGTATAATTAATTATAGCAGAAAAGAAAAACTTTGTAACTATTAGTTGCATTATTCAATCCCTAAAAGTAACTAGTTACAGATGGCTGTTACTTGTAACTCATTAGGTCTAGATGCTGACTGTTGGTATCTCTCAAACCCAATTACTCCTCTTGGAACACTTAGACAATGACACATTCCTATATTTCTACTTTCATTACTTTTCTTAAGACCCTTATTTCTAATAACCGGTTTGAGCTGATCCTTTCCCCCCATGTTCTACCCTAACGAAGCCTCAATACAGCCAGCTGCAATAAGCATACGCCCTGCCCCCTTCCTCTATAACCTGACCCAACCTCTTCCATCCCCCTTCCCTTCAGTCTGAGGATGTAAGTTCCTTGAGCCAAGTTCCTGTCTTCTTGCACCCTGGAAAATGATGAGCCTACTGAGTGTGCCATAGACATAAACAAACTCTTCATGGCCAGCCACAATGGAGCACTTAGCACATTCTGTAGGTCATCTTCAGCAAAACCAACAGACTTCCCAACAGACCATCATGATCAAAAAATACAGACATTTTTAGTCTTGAGAAGAGAAGAGTGACTCTTCAAATACTTGAAAGATTCTCATACAGAGGAGAGACAGGATCCGTTCCCAGTCATTTAAAAGAGGAGGGTACATAACGATGGGCTGAAGTTATAAGAAACCAGATTTCAGTTGAATATCAGGAAAGACTTCCCAACTGTTAGAGCAGTACGACAATGAAACTACTTATCTCAGGAGGTGGTGAGCACTCCAACACTGGAGGCATTCAAAAGAAAGTTGGACAGTCATCTCTCAGATATACACTTTGACTTGGAGTCCTGCATTCAGCAGGAGTTGGGCTTAATGGCCTTAGAGGTCCCTAAGATTCTGTAATTCTACATAGAAAGTCCTGACTTGATGGGACATGATCATTATGATTGCAATGCTCCATGTTCCGACCTCACCGCAGTGACAAAAATATGCCATCAAATGACTTATGTGCCTGTCTGCTCAGTCCTCTTTCCAGGATGGGCAACTTCAAGGTCTTTCCTACTCTACCTTATTATGGTTCTTTTATTTTGAAACCAGACTTGGACTGGATAATCCTTCAACTAGAGAACTGTCCTTTATAAAAGAAGACAGTTGTGTGGCACCAAAACCTCTGCAGACACATATCCATACCTCAAACTTTCTACCTTTCAACAGTACAATCTACTGTATGGCAATAGCAGTACATTTAAGGGTGTAATTTAAGGAGTCTTTTTTGTTGTTTAGTGTTAAATCCAGAGCACTATCCCACTACTGGTCCGTTACGAATTCCTTTTGCATGTCATGATATCCATTCTCATGGAAGTAACTTCCCAAGCATTACATTCCCTATAATTTTCTTCTGTTAAAAACAAAAATGTTCTTTTTCTTCGGTTAGAGTACAGTCCTATGTTTATCTGGGATGCGTAGCTGGGTGAGCTTCTATAAGACGGCTTTCCTTGTATAGTTGGACCAGAAAAGGGGAAACATAGCTTTCCAGTTATTGCTATACTACAATTCCCATCCGTCCAAGGCAGTTGATGGTAAGGAGTGACAGGAGATGTGGTCCAAGATCCTACAATATCTGAAAAGCCACACATTTCTTTCCCCTCATTCAGATGTTGAGCCAACACTTAAAAAATCACAGGAGTGAAGTCTTGAGCAGCCTGGATTCATAGTACATTAACCGAAATCTCTTCTCTTTTTACTTGCTAGATGGGATAAAATTAGTCCTGTTTTTCCACCATTTGGGAGGCAGCTTTTTAAGAAATCCACTGTGTTTTTTGGAAACCCTCCCAGATTTTTTTACAGATGACTAGTAAATATTTCAGGCTTTTCAAATGTTTTCATGATCCAGGAATTAAAGATCATTCAGCTTTAATTAAGCCCATTTTAAAAACCTCCCACTTACAGTTAAGAGTGAGGAAAACTTGCTTTCTTGAAGTACGATCTACAGGAGCAATATAAAATGAAGCGATAGACATCTATAGAAAACAGCACTTCTGAGAGTCTTTGAAAGTGGCAAGCGGCAGTCAAGGTTCAGCACATTTAAATCCTCATCAATCTTCAACATTTAAATCTCCATCAATTCATCCATCTGTCCATTCCACAATACACCACACATAGGAATTCTAGCTTTAGTAAAGAAATAAATACCATACACTTCTCTTGCTTTTGAAAACATCTGTATTTATAGCATCTTTCCTTCTTTGAAAAAATGTTCATCAATTGTTCATGACTGTTCTGTACTTATTATGGCCCTCCTATCCCACATTGCAGTTCATTAAGAAAAACAAAACAAGACTTTAAAAAAAAAACTGAGGCTGCCCTAGAGCCTAACAAGTTTTATTTGGCATCCGCTTTCATAGTCAAATGAAAGCTTATGCCAAATACAACTTATTAGTTTTTAAGGTGTCACAGATTGTTACTTTTGGCTAAGGTTATTTTTCACTATAACTCCCATGGTGGCTGTGAGATTGTAGGAATTGTAATCCAAAAGAATTACTTTTCCTATGCCTGCTTCTCCCCCTGCCCCCCCCCCGACATTGAGAAAAAAAACATGGATACAATTCAGGAACAATACACTAAAATATACATGTTTTTGTAGCACTTTATATTACTGTTTAAGTCAGAGTTTGTGGAGGATGCTGAGAACGCTCAGATACAAGTTTTGCTGAAACTTTGGCAGGACTTCGGTTCTTAGCATTTCTTAAAGATAAACCAGTTAGTGTAGATGTGCGTTAGCTGAATGGGAACAAAAATGGGCAGCTTTAAAAAGGAGGAGAAAAAAGAAGCAAGCATCAAGCAACTGCCAGAAACCTATGTAAGCCTCAGTACCTACATAGTGCTTATTTAATGAGGGGCTGGTCCTACCATGAGGTAGAGTGGAGCAGCTGCTTCAGATAGCATACGCTGGAGTTCTGGCAGAAACAGAAATGTATATGAGGACACAGCTATGTCACCCCTCATCTAGGATTCAATTGCAAGTCTTTACATTTTCGTGGGCATCAGAAGAAGATGTGGTCATAGTTCCTACATATGGTTCTCTGTCACCTACCCCCTTTCACAACTGCTTGAGGTAAAGAGATGTCACTAGGTGCTCCATACAGCAGAAGAGGAAGGGAGCAGACAACAGGGATAAACAGCAAATTTGTGGGGAAAGCTCCAGTTGATCTCTTTCTAGTTGCATCAGGAGATTTGAAGATCCACATCTAACCCTATTTGAAGATGCTAACCCTATCTTCCTGCCCCCAGTAGAAAAGGATAAAAGACAGAGCTTGGAAATGTGGCTTTTGCAGCCATGTGGGCAAAGAGTAAACCTTTGGTCTAGATGGGCGGGATAGAAATCTAATAAATAAAAATACAGTAATTTTAAAAAGGAATTCTGGGAGTCGTAGTCCAAAAAAGGAACTTCTCTAAAGGTGTGCCGATGCACAATAAAAGGATACTTATTTGGGGGAACAAGCAGGGGAATATTGCAAAGTAACCAGTAGGATTACATGACAGGACCCTTGTTTCAATTTCAGATGCAAAGAAATAAAGAAAAAACGGCTGCTCTCAATAGGCATCAACTGATCTTTTTCAGAGAGGGTGGAAAGAGATAATTCTCCACTCCATAACTGCCAAGTCAGAGATGGTCCAGACCACACACAATTATTTCCTCAGAAGCATCTGTATTCCAGACCTTGCTAATGGTGCTATAAAGTGACTATTGTACTGAGCAAACAAACAGGGGCCCATTTCTTAGGTAAGCAGGCCAAGGGAACAAACCCATTTGTTTTAAGACAAAAGGGGTGACCGGCTGACCTTAGTTAACAACATTGCTGAAAGGTATGAGATATAAAAAAGAAAATAAGCAGATCAAAGGCCATTCATGTATGCTTCTGTTCTGTTCCCTCCCCACTGTTATTTCTTGGCAGGTCCATCTGGAATACTTCAAACTGCAAGATGTGCAACTTCGCTGCAAATGTTCCCCACCCTGTTCCAAAAATCTTATATATCTCATTTGGCGAGATAAGATTTAATTACAAATAGCTAATTGTGTGTGCATGTTTTAAAGAGAGGGGTTTGAGGGTGCAATAATGCCCCTTGCTTATGACAAGCAGACAGTAGGGATTTGAGTAGCAAGCTGAGAATTAACTAAGGCAGGTGCATCAATTAGTTAAGAGAGAAATATGTAGACTAGAGGTTGGAAACATTCACACGCATGCACACACACCTTTACTGAAACTCTAAGAATTCCTCACCCAGCTATGCTGAAGCATGCAGAAAGGGAGAGTTTTATTTATTTACTTGTTTCTGTATTATTTACCGTATTTTTCGCACCATAAGACACACTTTTTTCCCACAAAACAGGGGGGTGGAAAGTCTGTGCGTCTTATGGAGTGAAGAAAACAGATTATATTTTCCTGTTTTCTTCTCCTAAAAAATTGGTATTTCTTGGATTTCAACCATGCTTGTTTTCTTTAAAAAATATGACCAAAGGACACAAGAACACTCAGAGATGCTTGTTGGCTCAGAAATCATGGGGAAACGAATGCTCATTTCCATGCAAAGAGATAGAAGACTTAGACTGGGTAGCGATGGACAAAGATCTAGATTGCACAAGATATTCTCTCCTGTAAAAGTAAGTAAATATAAATTCAATCAAGCATGTTGGCTACAGTTTTCCTTTGCTCTTGTGTGCTTTCCTCTCTCCTCCCACAGCATCCTATAAATACAGTCTTAGGAAAGTTCAGTTGTTTTAAAGACACTTCATGAGTGTAATTGATTTCACCAACTGTACAAGTGACACTTTTCCCCCCACCTCATGTGCTGGAAAAGGGGAGAGTGTGAGGAACCCAAATCATAAAATCTGAAGCCAAGAGAGAAATTACAGTCCAAAATGTAAAAAGAAAAGAGAAACAGATTAAGGAAAATCCCTTTACACGCCATTTAGCATGTGTGCAAATCTGAAAGTATCTCTTGGGAGAAAAGAGAGAGAGAAGAGTCCCTAAATGGAATTAGCACGCAAAGGTTGCTTTTGATTGGGGTCTCCTAATAAAGGATACAAGGAGCAGGAGACAATTAAGATGTCCGGGATTCTATAGAGCGGCTAGATTGGAAAGGTGGGAGAAGGACGTCAGGGTAGAAGAGCCAACTTGTTTTCTTCTTACCTGAACTCTCACTTCAGGAAGGTTAACCTTCATTGCCAGCTCTTCTCGACTGTACACATCAGGGTAGTGGGATTTCTCAAAGGCTCGCTCCAATTCATGGAGCTGGTAGGTGGTGAAAGTGGTGCGGTTCCTCCGGTGCTTCTTCTTGGGTTGGTCTTCGTCGGAGAGTTTGCCATCACTGTTATTACAAGCCGGCAGTTCAGGACTCAAACAATCTTCAGAGCGTTTGGGGCAGTAAGGATCTGAGAGGCAAGAAGAAAATTAGGCATGGCTAGTGCACCAACCAATTAAAGGACAAATAGGTGGGTCGGAGTTTGGAAGCAACAGTGGTTTGTAAGCCCCCCTCCCCAAAAAGTAATATTTGCCAGCTCTGATATGAATTTAAGCTGATTTGATCTGAGACATTTAGTGGCTCCAAAACACAATTTGATGAGCGCAAATCCCAGTAACTTCAGCATCACTTGCTCCCAGTGTCATCTGTTTTTTTTTTGAGTTGCTTTCCCATCTGCGTTTCCATTTCTTTAAAAAAAAAAACACATTTTGACTGCCTTTGACATGGATTTACATTGGACATAGTTCTTCTTTATCTTTGGGATGATAAGCTTGAATTAGATTTTAATAAGACAAGCAATATCTAGTGTTACTAAGCACCCTCATAATCACAATGCTTAATTAGTGGTTTCATTGCATCATCATGCATTGCTCTTCTTTTTTGCTCCCTGTTTCTTTCAAAACTACTTTAAGATAACATTCCATGTTTAAAGGAGCAACAGCGAACAACTGTTGCTTCTACTCTTCTGCTGCCGCTGCTAGCAGAACACAAGTGACTCTAACAGCAGGTTGCAAAGACATGAATCCCATTGATTTCACAGTCGTCATGTCAACTTTAAGCTGCAATCCTATGCAGAAGTTAGACTAACACTCAGCTACGGTCACATAGAAGTGGTTTAAATTAATATTCCATTAATCCATCTGAGAAGCTAATTCACACAAATTGCTCAGCAGCGCAATTTTGTTCGAAGCACTAGGTTTTTCCATAAATATGGTGAGTGTCCTTGTATCTGAATGATAGTATCTTTCCCTGCATTCAGATAGGAAACGTTTGAGCTTTTGCCTTTGTGAATTAGGCCAGGTTCTGTTTAAACCAGTCCTCCCACAGTATCCTCCGACAGCCAGTAAGATGCTTACAAGGAAGATGTGATTCCCAAGTACAGTATAGAGTTAGGGAAATGCTCGGTTGGCCTTCAACCGAGAATGAACAGTGATTCCAAAATCATGTATGTCCCTCTGAATCCAAAATGTTCCAGATCAGCACAGCTAGGCTTGGCGTGTTGGTCTCATTCAAAGCTACAAGTTTGGTGACCACTTGCTTCCTTTAGAAAGAGATTGTGATCTGTAACCTCATGAAAAGAGAGCCAGCAACTCCAGTAGCACATACCGAGCAGAAGTGGTCTCATTCAAACGTTTTATTGTAACAGGCTGGTACTCCCAGCTCATCTCTAAGATGAAAGGTATTCGTCTTTAGAGAAAGGGGGGAAAAGCTTCTCTCCTACGCTGTTTGAATGGCAAATTAACACAGAGCTGGACTGAAACAGGAAGATTGTGCTCCCCCTTTTTCTCTTATAATACAGGTCAAATCCATGCACTCTGATGGATCCCCTTGCGAGCAGGGCACCTGTGGATGTCCATTGAAAAAGCGATGCATGCACACACAGCCCAACCCATATAATGCCATTTTGCTCTGTCTCCCAAGCACCAGGACTATTTCAGCAATGGAAGCTGTGCTTTGGGGCATCTCTCTACTGGATTTGACTTAGGAAAGAACTAATTAACTAGCGAAATGGGCTTCAGATGAGAATCCAGATGAGAACACAGGGATCTGGCCCTCTGCTCACTGCAAAATAGTCACCCATCTGGCACTGCGGTGAGTGGAGCATTTCTCTAAGGAACAGCCTGATCTCATGCAGGCTTCCCTGAGAGGCTCAGGAAGTTCAGGAGGGCAATACGGTATCCCCAAATGAATTTGCAAATATTGCACCCTATGTACTGTGTGATAGTAACGTTCTCCCTGCCTTGTCGGTTCTTCTGAAAACTTATCTAGGGAAGGCTTGAGCTTCTAAAGTCCGGTTCTGTCTAACGTTTTGCAGATTCTCCCCTTTTTTTTAAAGACTGGGAGCAACAGAAGGGGCTTAAATGGCCTTTGGCATAAAGTCTTGACTCCCGACCCGTCACATTTTGCTCCTCTCTTGCTTCCTCTAGAAAGCTGCGCTGGACTTAAAAGAGGATGCGGCCCGTGTTACATCCGTTAAGGCTCCAAATGTTAGCCCCTGTCCAAAATGCCCCATATGA